GTAGGGTCAGGGAAAGTGTTTCTGAGAAAGTAAATCTTTATTGAAAGAGCCTTTCTCCCCATCCCTTTTTAACTATTGAAAAGAATTGTAAAGAATATTTTAAAATAGAATTAGACAGTGGTTTTCAAACAAAGTAATAGCCACATAGGTTAGAAAAAACATGTCTTTTCTCAACTTGGGAGCGTTCTCTGGTGACTACGCCATATTTATTGGTTGGGTGAAATAAAATTTTTAAAAGTTATTTAAAGAATTAGGCAACAAAAAAAGTTACTGTAATTTTGAGGAGACAAACAAGAGGAGAGCACTATTATGTAAATAATACTAGGTGCTTTTGTTTTGTTTTTGATAGAACAAAAGATTGGATTGATAATGTGCAGTGTAAATTAGTTTAAAAATGGTAACAGCTTTGATTGATTAGAGTCTGTTGTCATATTGTAGCAAAGATTAAAGTTTCTAAATTCTGTACCATAAATTGAAGGTAGAGAAAAGTATGAAATACATTTTATAGAACATATTTCATAATATCAAAGCTTTTATGAAGTGTTATGTATTCATAGGTGGGAGTATTTAAGAATTGCAAATTAAATTGTCATTTAGATATTAAATATAGAATTGAACAGTTTTTGTAAACTCTGTGTATCAACTGATTTTATCAGTTATAAAATCACTGATTAAAAAAAGCACTTTTGAGTACTTTCCATTTTTATTGTAAGACAAGAACAGTAATTTTTTAGGGTTATTTGGAAATATTTTTGTGCTTAGCAGCATACTTTGGCTAAAAAGCTACTATGATAGATGAATCTGATAGTATTGCTCTGTCCTTCATAATGTAGTGTTTATTATCTCTCATGTATGAAAATCTCATTTTTATTAGCAGCTATTTTCATGGTAAAACCATTTTCCAGAATTCAGGATCTTAATAAGGAGCTCCAGGGGATCAGGTTTGACTCCTTTTATTACCATGGTAATGCTTTATCAATTTAAAATATGCACCCCATGATAGTTCTGTATTTAATGATCTCATTGGTTTACTTCCCTTTTTTTAAAAAGCCAGCTGTGCACTTTATTTTTTTTATTGTTTATTTTTATTTTTTTATTTTTGGCCATGCTGCATGCAGAATCTCAGTTCCCCGACCAGGGATCAAACCTGTGCCCCCTGCAGTGGAAGCTCCGAGTCCTAACTACTGGACTGTCAGGGAATCCTGGTTTACTTTATTTATATTCCAGAATTGAAATAGCATTCACTTATCAGTACCACTGAATGATCTCCTTGGGCTTCATTTTAACAATTGCTTGCTTGGCTTTTGTTCCTTTCTTGTTACTCCAACTCCTCCCTCAGGCCAATCACCTCCTGCTCGTTTTCTCCTGCCATTTGATACTCTAGCTAGTCATTGCATTATTCTGCTTCCTTCCTTGCTCTTCTGTCAACTCCATTCTGCATTATGCCTTTTTGCCTTTCCGACTTACGGACATCTATGCTCTTTGCTTAACTGTATGTGGTACTTAAGGGGTCTGCTGTTTAAACTCTGGTTTAGCCAACCCATTTCTTTCATTCAAGCTCTATTTGACATCTGTCTTCTACTTAAGACTAAATGGATGAATACTTACCTGCATATATAAAAACATTTTGTTATTCTAATTGCTTTAGATTGTTTGTTAACGGTGGTATTTCTCCCTAATTTATACTTACCTGATACTTCTGGTGTTTTAATGTGGTTCTGGTTGGGGGGAAGCAGAGAACTCAGCTATCACCTATGTAGACTTGAGTTTTTCCTTTCCATATATGAAAAAGATTTTTATTTCCAGATTGTCTAGGTTCTTGCTGCTAGAAGTGTGGTGCATGGGCCAGTAGCATCACCATCACCTGTTGGTTAGAAATGCAGAGTCTTAGGCCCCACTCAAGACCTTATGCTTCTTAATCTGAATTTTAACAAAATCTCTAGTCAATGGATATGAACACTGAAGTTTGCAAAGCACTGTTGTAGGTATCATCTAGCTAGTTGACACAATTAACATGCTGACTGATAAATACCTGTGTACTTTTCTGAGCTGATCTTATTTAAATGTTTATAAATTATTTTGTAGCTATTCATCCTGGCTCATCAAAAGTTATATTCTGGGTGGGTATCACTTCTATTATGAGGAAGCAGTGATAAGAATAATCTCAAACAATAGCCAGTCCCAGTTTTTTAAGTGAGGTTTTGGCACACATTAGAACTGAAACTATGACAAACTTTGTTTGTTTGGCTGCGTCGGGTCTTAGTTGTGGCATGCAGGATCTTTTGTGGTGGCGTGAGGGCTCTTCCTTGTGATATGCAGGCTTCTCTCTAGTTGTGGTGCATGGGCTCTCTAGTTGTATCACGTGGGCTCCACAGCGCACAGCCTCAGTAGTTGTGGCACGTGGGCTCAGTAGTTACAGTGAGGGCTTAGTTGTCCCGCGGCATGTGGGATCTTAGTTCCCTGAGCAGAGATCGAACCCGTGCCACCTGCATTGGAAGGCGGATTCTTAACCACTGGACCACCAGGGAAGTCCCTGAAACTATGACAAACATTTTTGAGTCCAGTTTCATTGTTCCATCCTCCAGCATCAGTTTGCATCTGTGGATGAAGAACTGTTCCTCTCTTATCTTTTAGGCTGTGGCTTTTCAAAAGAATTTTGTGCACTTTGAGGTATGGGAAAAAATACTCAAATTTCTATTTAATTTTTATCTTACATGAACGAAATTATGACTTACTGAATATTGGTTAATAGTATATGTATATAATTTATGAGTAAATAGATATTGAGGCCCATATTCAAATCTTGCTTGTATGTGATGACACAGGTTTATAGATTCCTCTGTGGTACAATATGACAATCCCAGATTTTATTATTGGACTAGGAAATAATCTTGTAGTAAATTCTATACTATACATTGCTGTATGTGGTTGCAAATGGATAAGAGATAGTACTTACTGTTATTTGTGTATGGTTCGTAGAAAAATAATTGTTCTGTTTTCTGAGCACATATTAATAGGGGCTTAGAGATAGATCTTCTCTGTGCTTACTGTGATATATGTTATATGTGAAGTTAATCCACTGTGTGTGTACAATTATTTGATGATACCCTGAAACTTAGATTTATTTGTATTATTATTTATATTATTATATAATATTTATATTATTTATTTATATACTTGTGCTTTAGGAAATAGTTTTAAATGTTTTTAATGTTTTTAATGTTTTTATTTTTATAGTCATGAAAGAAAAAACTTCTTATTGCACTTCAAGGATGAAGAGAATTGAGAACATGCAAAATTAATCTTTTATTATCCTTTAACATTCAAATAAAGTGTGAACAACATGGCTGACCTACAAATGCATTTATGTTTGCATTTTTCAAGAGTAATACTGTTGTTTAATAATGACAAACAATATTTCAGTGAGGTTTTTTTTGTAGGTTTCAATGTCTTCTTTTGACTCTATGTCTAAGAATGGCAGTGGGAGGGAGTGGCAGAGAGAAACACCCAGATGAATGTGAGATAGTAGGATGTCACTTAGCACCTCAAGGGTGTTCAATTTTAAGCAACAGAGGTAAACTCCAAGGAGTGACTTTAGCTGGGAGCCATTCTATTTTGTATATAGCTCTTGCTGCGTGTGGTTGTGACAGACAGGACTATGGTTGTGGTTACCAGAGGACACCCTTGTGGTCATAACCAAGTTGTAAGTGTCACCAAGATTCTTCTTGAGTGTCTGTCACATGTGTATCAGTGATTCTAAAAGTAGATAAAAATGAAACAAAGATTCATTTGGGAGTTAGCACTCCCAGCAGATTAGTTTTAAAACAGAACAGCAGAAGGTGTTGTGACATGCATCCCCAAGCAATTGTAATGATTTGACAGTTATTTAGCCCTCAATTCCTAGCCCTTTGGTTGAACTGACAGCATGCCTGCAAAGATAGTGAGGCCTGTTTCAGCCCCATTAATGTCTTCTTGAATGTTAGCCTGCAGTCTGGGTAATGATAAATGTTCACTGATTGATGATTTTATAGTCCCAGAGGATTCTGGGTGGCTTCTGTAAGCCAGGGCAGTCAGTTTTTGTTCTTGTTTGGGCCTCTTGTAAGATTTTCTGATCTTTACTAAAACCGTTTTAAGTTGGCAAAAGGGTGAGTACCACCTCAGTTTTAATTAACTAGGGGTTCAAAGCCTTGTTTAGAAACTATATGATTTTGGAAGTGATGCTGTATTTAGCATGTATAAGAGTCTGAGAACCAGAACAGCTTTTATCCACTGAGCTTTTTGTAACACTTATTGTATTTGTGAACTTTCATGTCTTTTAGGCTCACTCACTTTTAAAAAACATGTTTTAAGTTATAAAGATAAATTTAATAACAGCTATTGTGAAATAACATTAGCTTTATTGTTTTCATGGTGTTTGCAATTTCATTTTTTAGACTCTTAAGAATTTAAATTAACTATCTTTGTGTTTTCTTTTTTACATGGCTCAGTTTCTATAGGAGTATATCTTGTTATACTAGTATTAAAAGGAGTATAAGCAGATCGTCTTTTGCTAAATATTTGTTTGCCATTTAGGAAAGGATTCATTTCTAGTATATTGATTGTCGATTTTTTTAAATATTTTAAGTAAATCTTATAATTGCCCAACCCTTTATTGATAGGGTATAGAGGCAGAGAAAGGAGGATACAGATAAACATTTTCCTAATTTATTGTAACTCAGAAATATATTTTCTTAGTTCATCCTTTTAGAACTTTACTTTTGTCTGTAAAGAGATTGTAGGGCGAATTTTTTTTTAAATCTATAAAGAAATTTTTTGACTTTAATATCTTAAAAGGAATAAAAGCAGCACTTCTGTTTAGTTTTTCAAGTAATGAACCAGAAACTTGGTTAGGAATGACCATTTGTAAGTCTGTACATTAATTAGATGAGTGTCATTATGCTCAATTAGCATGACTGCCAAATAATCTCTTTAATACTCCGGTCTTTTTTTTTTTTCTCTAGGGTTTTACAGACAGCCCTCATTACAGTGATCACTTGAATGACAGTCGATTAGGGGCCCATGAAGGCTTGTCCCCAACACCTTTCATGAACTCAAATCTAATGGGTAAGTTGGTAATTTCTCTGCAAGTAGTCTTCACAGAGCCTCTTTGGTCAGAGACATTTTTTATCTCCTTGTCCAGGATGGACACCTAAGTATGTAGAAGAAAGTTCCTAAGTTTCTAGGGGCATCTGGGCTTTCTTTGTTCAGCTAAGTTTGAGGGGCAAGCATTCAGAAATGTGGTTCCTTCTATTAGAGCATTATTGTCATTGCTATCAAAAAAGGAAGCAGCAGTGTTTTATCTGTTAGTTTTGGCAGTGTCTGTGACATCAAGCATTATGTTTTCTGCTTTCTGGGCAGGGAAGCATTTCAGAGACATTTGTTTGTAATTTACTATTTGTCTTAACAGTTGTATATATGTGGTAATTAAAAATATGACAGCAGTGATTTTAGGCAAATTTTACTCATTTTGGGCAGTATTTCTTTTGACACTGTTTGATCAAAACATAATACTATATTTAAGTATTGCAGCATTTGTTTTAAGCACTTGGATTCTTATTGGGGATTTAAAATTTTTTCTTCTGCTGTAGTAAAGTTGTACTTTGAATGACATTACCTACGACCTAAACCTGATAATTATTTTTGGCAAAACCTTTAAGGTTAGCCATTCTCTATATCTCCCCCTACTCACTGCAAACCAGCCCTCCCTTCCTCTCTCCCCCTGCCCTCTCGCTTTCTCATATCAAAGTTTATAGCTATTCAATCTGAAATGATAAGCCCCCAATTTTTTCCCCCCAGTTTGGATGCCACTCTTATTAAGCGAGAATTTTACCTTTTTGCAGAACCTGATTCAAAACAATCTGTTTTATGACATTATTTTTCCTCCTTGTTTATGCTGGGCCTGAGCACATTACAAAAGCTTTATTTAATCTGTCTTACTGGTTGTCAGTGGTGTCATGTTAATATGGAAGGTTTGTGTAATTGACATTGATTTCGTTACTTTACTTCTTAAGGACATGACCTATATTGTGATCTTAGAATTGTCCTTTTAAGAGACAGCCATGCTAATCTAAGTGGATTACCCAAATCCAAAATCCTGGTGGTCTGCAGTTTCTTTATAAATGGTTCTGTTTAGCACAGCCTTTATTTCCCTTACCCTCCATAAAGTATTGAGGAGACAGATTCTGATATTTCAGTGTGGATTTTGCCTAAGGCAGTTACCACTTTGAAGCCAGAATCATTGAGTATGACACAAGAGTAAAAATCAGTGATAAAACTTGTGTTTAAAATGACAGTTTGTTTCAACATAAATGAAAATGAAAATCCTGGTATTAAATATATTATCATTCCAGGTAAAAATCAGAATTAAATATAGAACAAAATAATTATCCTTGCATTTGGCCAGGGAAAACTTTCTAATCTATCTTCTAAATTTTCTATCAAGCTTACTATCAAAGTAAAGTAGATGTGACACTCCAGATGGTTTCCTTTTGTAGTATAACTTTTCCCCAAGTAGCATTTAATTTATGGTAAATATGGTAGAGCAAACTATAGTTAATGTTTTTGTAATTTCAGATTGAACTAAGCTTTCTTAATTAAAGATATAACTGAATTGTGAAAAATCAGAAATTGCCCTTTTTTATATTTATGTTCTTACCTTTATTAGCTTTCAGAGATGACTCTTAAGTTCAGTAGAATTGCATCATTAGTGCAGCTTTGAGCCAAGGTGACTGTTAAAATTGTGGGGTAAGTGTGGAAAATAAATGAATTCTAAGAAGTATGCATGTCAGTCACTTGCTCTGAGTAGCTGTTGACTAAAAATATTTCTGTAATTCAGTTTGAGGTAACATTTTCTTAGTTGGAGCAATTATGAACATGTGCTTGTTAGTTTCTTCAGTTTACTGATAATTATTAGAATACTTTCAGTAATCATCCATACCCTATGTATAAAATCAGCATCTAAAATAGTCTTGAAATAAAAAAACTCGGGTTTATAAACAGATTGATCCCTTCACAGTACAAATGAGAAAAATCTGCATTCATCTGAACTACATTGTGCAATTAACCAGGTGCAGCTATACATTTTCATTGTACGTTTTAACTACCTAATCTTAAAAATGTTAATTTACCCATAGGAAAGGGGAAAATGACCCTGAAGAAGATTAGGCAGATATTGTTCAAAAGGATTTCACTGGTTTTGGGAATATCTGATTTACTACACTTCCTTCCTTTTATTTTCAGTACAAATGATCAAATGAGATATCTAACAGTTGAGTCTAAGCAATCTGCATGACAATAGCTAGCTTTTGGAAATGAATGTCCTTTAAATTGTGGAGCACCTCCATACAGCAACAGGCAGTCCCACTTGATGTGACTTGACGTAATTGAACTGTTAGATACCCCCAAATATGGGTTTATAGCGCTCAGTAGAGTTACAGTGGATAGATTAACTTTGTTAGCCATTTGATAATTTAGGGGAGTTTTCAGGCTAAAAACCTGTATTGTTAAAGCAGGACTGAGATGTGCATGGCAGTATTAGCAGCATTTGGAACTACTGATACCTAGTTGTCATAATAGGTAAAAACTTCAGAGTGATTCTGTGAATGATGAGTGCTCAGAAACAGTTAAAGCTAACTGGAAAGCTGTAACATGTTTCATCATTGCTGTCAACATATAAAAACACCATCTAAGGGGGGGTGGAATTGTATGTCTAGGGAATGTTGTTATTTTTCGTATTGTGTTCAGCAATAAGCATATTTGCCTAAAGAAATAGTGGATTGTAGAGTGCTACTATCTTTCATGATGGAGCTCTCAAATACTTTAATGATTTTGTACATTGCAAAAATGAGAAATTTTATCTAACAAGGGTTGATAATGATTCAGTAATGAACAGTTTGCCACAGAAACATGCACTTCTGTATTCATTTAGGTATTTTGAAGTGTTTTACATGGGAAGTAAAACTCATGTTGAAACAGTGTTTCTTTTTAATGAATTCCAGAATTATCCTATTGATTTGTCAATATGGAAAAGGGGGTTTTTCTTATGTTTCAAGTGAAATAAGTACATCCTTTTGGCACATCACTAAGTAATTAGCATCAAACAGTTCTGTACTCTATTATAGTAAAACTGCAAAGCTTTGACAATAGCAGTAAATTGCAGTAGTATCACCAAAGAGTCCTATTTATTTCTGTCCTCTTCCAGCTTTGGTCCATTTCTCCACCCTTGGGCCCTTCATTAATTTCAGTAATATTTGCTTTCCTTTACCTGTTGTTGATTAGATGTATTTTCGGTGATGGTAGGAGTAGTTTATTAATTGGACATAAAGACAAGTTATTTTATAGAATTGCCTCCCTTTGATTCCCAAGTTATTGTGGAATAAACTATCTACTCCTCCACATCTATCAAAGCTTTACTTGTTTTAGGTGGTGTGTGCATGTATTGTCAATGGGAAACTTAAGATAGTACCTTCAATTTTCCTTTTTTCTGAGACCTTCATTTGTGTTCCTTTCTGAGACCTATGTTGCCTCTAGAGATGTTTTGCTAGTATTGTATCTTTTAAAAACTGGAAGCAACATGTGGTGGTATAGGAAAAAATACAGGGCTGAGAGTTAAAGAGGTCTGGATTTTAAACCAGATCCTGAAAAATAACCTTCACCTTTCAGATAAGGTATTGCTGCATAGTCTCAAAGGTCTTCTGTAGCTCTAGAATTTTATAATTCTATAATCTCATGTAATATCTTTTATTCAACCCTGGAAAAGGCTGCAACTAGAGTTGTAATTGGTATTTTGCAAATGATAAAACTAAGGTACAAAAAAATTGTGTTTTTTCTTGAGGTCACAGAGTCAATAAGCAGCAAAACTGAATGTAGAGCCCATGTATTCTGACTCCCAGTGTTCTTCCACTAGGCACATTAGACATGTAAGGTACTGGTTCTTTCTACATGACGCCTTCAGGGTTGCACTAGCTCAGCATTTTCCAAAACTGTACGTATGGAGACACTGCTTTTGAGAGGTGACTATGAAAAAAGTTCCATAGGGACATAACTTTGGAAAGCATTTTATATCACATGCCCCCTCTTAGAGATTGAGATTGTACTTTGGGGTATTAAAGGGATTGTACTTTGGGAAGAAAAGGCGGGGAGCTTATTTAATTATGTTTAGCCCATCACATTCCAGAATCAGATGATGCACAGAAGCCTTTTTGTAAAAAATCATCATTAGCCTATGGGAAACTAGTTTTCTATGGTGCACACACTGGGACATGTTTGTAGGTTGTGTTAAGGGAAAAATAAAAGATAAAATATGAGAGTTCTTTGAAATGTAAAGTAGCACAAGGTTAATAATACTGCTGGATATACTTTTATAAGTCATTTTAGGCATCTTAGCTAATTTAACAGGTTGGGTCCAGTTGTTGCATTGTTAAACCTGTGTTTTGTAAGTATTTGACTTATAAACAAACCAACTGTCCTTCCATTGTTGTTGGAGTCTATTTGCTCAGCCCTGCCCTTCTTTACCTGACCGAGTTTAAAGGGCCCCCTCTGTTAGCAGCTACTGCATTTTATTTTCATTTCATTGTAGATTAAATAAGTTTCTCTGGGCTTGTCTGGGAATTTAAACCCAAGTACACTTTTTTCCTATACATTCAGTATTTCAAACAACCAAATTTCAAAGAAAACTCTTTTGTGTACTTGATTCTGCCTACACTATACTTTATGATTACTCCAGAAATCTCCTAGAGTTACAAAAAAATGTAGAATCACCATTTTCAGGATATCAAAACGTAATAGAACCCTGCCTTCAAAAAGATCTCTAACTTTGGCGTACAGAAATTCTTTCGATAGATGAGATAATGAAAATGATTATAATTGTGCTTAGGGGAAACAGTATAGCTTACTGTCTGGTTTGACAGTATTTCATAAGGATTAGGCCTTCATACTTTGTCCAGTGTTTTATTAACCCCAAGTCTCAACGAAGGATGAGTTATTATTCATAGATCTACGTTCTCTGATCTTTGGATGCTTACAAACACAAAATGTTGGGACTGGAAAAAACGTGAGTGAACCAG